CACTGCCATCCATTCTCCCCGCCTTCCCACTCTCACCAGCACCACGACCCGGGCCTGGGGCTGCCGCTGATTCACCAGTTGCACGATGGCCTTGATGCCGCCAGCCACCTGCTCTGCTGTGTGCCCATGGTTGTTCGTACCCACCCAGACCACCACAATCTGGAAAGAGAGTCATGAAGCAGTGGTGAGGGGGCAGGCTAAGAGGGCTTTCGCTGCCCACCCAAGCCCTACTTACCTTGGGCCGGATGTGTTCAAGCTCCCCATTCTCCAGCCGCCATAGCACGTGCTGTGTACCATCACCGCCAATGCCAAAGTTAAGTGCATGCAGAGGAGAAAAAAGCTCCCGCCAGATCTGTGGGCAAGAAGTGGGGTGGGCACAGGGGCATTGTCAGCATGCACTACTCTGGGTCCAAATGTTAACCAGATGTCATTACGGAAGAGCCTCTCCATGGAAGCAATCTCATCCTGAGCAAACCCCAGTATGGTCCAACCTCACGTTATGCAAACCTATATGTGTTTGGAACCCATAGAAGCAAGACTCACTTTATGGAAACCATTCTGCTTGAGTTATGCATTGAAACAACAGTTAAACCTCTCTTTGAGGAAAACCATTAACCTTGCTTACTGGAAAGATATTATACCCCAGCCCCCTTTATGGAGAGCTATTACAGTTGACCTTCACATTGTGGAAAGAACTGTAGCTTTGTGGAAATCCATTAAGCAAACAATAGAGCCTCACTTTAGTCCAGTGGTTCTCAACCTTCCTAATGCCACGACCCTTTAATACAGTTCCTCATGTTGTGGTGACCCCCAATTTCATTGTTACAAATTGAACATAATTAAAGCATAGTGATTAATCACAAAAACAATATGTAATTATATATGTGTTTTCCAATGGTCTTAGGCGACCCCTGTGAAAGGGTCGTTCGACCCCCAAAGGGGTCGCGACCCACAGGTTGAGAACCGCAGCTTTAGTCAATCTTGCAGGGAAGCCTCATTTTAAGTCTGATTATATACAATAACAGCCTGATAAAGCCAGGGCACACACTTCCTTCTCAGTATGATGTTGTACCTTACACTGAAATTCTGGGTGCTGGGAGCTACCTAAGGTTATTTCGGGGACCCCATACACCGCCTGGCCTGAGGTCTGGTCCAGGTGAGTCAGTGAGGGCAGGCCTGGGTGGGGCAGGAGGAGGGAGATCGGCCTCACCTCGCACTGATGCATTAGCTGGACCAAGGAGTCCCCAATGAAGACGACTTCGGGTTCTTTATCTTTGCTGTCAGCCACGAACCGATGGTGCTTCGGAGACAAACACGGGGGAGTTATGGCACGCTCGCTCCCGGGGCCGTCAGACAGCACCACACCACCCCACTGCCCTCAGTTTCCCCATCCCGTAGTGAAAGCCGCGCGAGCCAGCTGAACTCCCGAGCCGCGGCCCCACCCCCGACTCCTGATTATCGCGGGCGGGGTCGCTCACCAGGGACATCCAGCGTCCATCGCCCTGAATGTCCTGCACCGGCGTGGGCTTGCTGGCTGGGTTCTGCTCGCCACTCATCTTGGCGTCACGGCTTCTGCAGGACGAGCGAGCAAGGTCGGCCCGAGTGTTCCCGGAGGAGGTGGTCCGCCACTCCCACTCCTACCCCCAGGCAACAATGGACGGTCCGGACGCCGCACTCCACGGGTGGACGCAGGCGGATCCCGGGCGCCGCCTCTTCTCCAGGGGCGGAAACCTCCACTTAGGAGGGGAGGTGGATCGGGAAGCCCTGCTTCCCCCACGGCGGCCGCGCAGTGAGCTCGT